TTTTTTTCCAGTCACTTTTCACCTTTGTGTACTTGTATTCACTGTTTGTTCTGGCAGAGCAAACTGCATCTCGAGTTAGATGTGAACTTTTTGGCAAGTTTCTTAGTTTTGAGTTGTCCTTCTTTGATTTGAACGATGGCGGGAACATTCTCAGCTCGCTGTCGAACGACGTCCAAGAATTTAAAAGCTCATTCAAGCAGCTAATTTCACTGGGAATTAAGAACTTTGCTCAGATAGTCGGCTGTTTGGTGACACTGTACCACATTTCACCGCAGATGACCGTCCTCATCAATGTGGTCATCATTCCAACAATGGCCATTGTGGGGAGTCAAGTCGGCATAAGATTGCGCAAACTATCCAAACGTTTGCAGGATCAGCTTGCAAACATTACAAATGTTGCTTTTGAGTCAATCAACAACATTAGAACTGTCAAAATGCTCGGCATTGAGGATATTCTTCTCTGGTAAGGTGTCTTGTAGTTTAATGCTTATCAACTTTATTAACTCTTTATTACAGCAAGTTCGCTTCAGAGTTACGAGCATTCGATTCAATCAACAACAAGTTTGCATCGGGTTTCGCACTGTTTCAAAGCATGACCAATTTTGCCTTTAATGGAATAGTCTTGGTCACTTTACTCTTCGGTGGACACCAACTGCTCGGTGGTCAAATGTCAGCTGGAAATCTGATGTCTTTTCTCGCAACCACTCAGACCATCCAGCGCTCACTTTTTGCTCTTTCGCTGCTTTACGGTCACTACATCAAAGTCACCTCCTCAATGCAGCGAATTGTTGACTACCTAGTCATTGAATCGCCGCAAATAACGGGAAAAGTTTTGCCCGATTTCGTTGGCAACATTCAGTTCAAAGACGTCGTATTTCGGTATCCAAAAAGGCCAGAGTCGGAGGTGTTAAAAAAGATTAGCTTAACTCTGGAGCCGGGCAAGGTGACTGCACTCTGTGGCCATAGTGGAAGCGGCAAGTCTACCATTGCAATGCTGGTCGAGTCTCTGTACGATCTGGAGTCAGGAAGCATCACCGTGGATGACAATGATCTAAATGAACTTGACTTAAAGTGGCTCAGAAAAGATGTTGTCGGCTACATTTCGCAGGAGCCAGTTCTCTTTGGCACTTCAATTCGAGAAAACATCAAATTCGGAAAACCCGATGCCACCGAGGAAGAGGTTATTCAGGCGGCAACAATTGCCAACGCCCACGAGTTTATCAGCAGTTTTCCCAATGGCTACGACACTGTCGTGGGACAGCAAGGTGGAGCATTATCAGGGGGCCAAAAGCAGCGAGTGGCCATTGCTCGGGCAATCATAAAAGTAAGGAAAACGAGAAGGCTCGTTAATTCCCGTTGATTTACTATCATCATTTTTTATTTGAAAGAACCCTAAAGTGCTGATCATGGACGAAAGTACCAGTGCCCTTGATGCCGACGCAGAAGCAGAGGTAAAGAGTGCGCTGGACACTGTCATGAAAGGGAGAACAGTGCTCGTGATTGCCCACCGGCTCAGCACCATTCTCAACTCAGATCAAATAATCCTACTTGGAAGTGGGCGCATTCTAGAGCAGGGGTCCCACAGTGAGCTTTTGCAAAAGAAAGGAAAGTACTACAGCTTAGTGATGAAGAGCACAGAGAAGAACCTCGAAGAAGATGAAGAAGAGGACTGAAGTGGACGCCTCTCTGTGACGCCTGTGGTGGTGGTAGGCCTCTCCGCCACTGGCCTCGTTCTGTCAGACCCTCTCCAGGCGGCCCAGTGTCCGTGTTCGGGGAGAATTAATTGCGCTTATTTACGTGCGCCTGATCTGCTCCAATTACCATTCAGTGTCCCCAGTGTTCAGGTCGCTACATGGCTCNCGCCACTGGCCTCGTTCTGTCAGACCCTCTCCAGGCGGCCCAGTGTCCGTGTTCGGGGAGAATTAATTGCGCTTATTTACGTGCGCCTGATCTGCTCCAATTACCATTCAGTGTCCCCAGTGTTCAGGTCGCTACATGGCTCATTGTTATTATTTGGCTAACCACCATCACCACTATATATATTCCCTTTTAGGTATTGTTTTAAATTGTAATAAAAGTCAGCTACCCACTGCTCGGGGCTCCGCATGATCGGCGCACAAGTGGGGCCAATTACGGCAAATCAAGGGAAAGTGCCACTGTCAGGTACTGCTGACCACACTACACTACCCGCGGACGGGGTAAGTAGGGCAGTGTGCAGTGGGCACACTTCTCACCAGCTACCTTCATTGCGATCCATTTCGGACCCTAATCTGTTGTAGCAGTGATATCACTGAATAATTTACTGCCTGGACACAGGTCAGCTCAGCTCAGCGTACCAACACAGAGTAGTCATGGAGATCACAGCTGGGACACTGCTCTTCTTCGCTGCTCTTCTTCACACAGACCGGGCGCATCAGTGTGTGGTCAGTGCTCGCCAGACCGTCGTCGACCGGTGTTCACTTCTCTCTGTCAGTGAAATTCTTCTTGTTCAGTCGAAAACGAACACACTGCACACGTTGAATCAATGTTGCGTTCATGTTAGCAGGTCTGACAACAACCGCAATGAACTGGTTGCTACTCGCCCTCACTTTAAGCGCACTTTTCTCGCCGAGCTTAACCGCCGGAAGTAGGCGGTTTAAGCGGCAGGAAGATGCAGCCGCCGCCGAAGAAGACGTCGTCAAAGGACAGGTGTGTGACTTTGGCTCTGGTTCGCTGCTGCAGACTTGCAGCTGGACAGTGCCCAATGGCAGTCATCCGGAGATTCGCTGGAAGACCGCTCAAGGCGCACAGGAGTTTTGGCTGGGTGGGCCAGGTCGCGACAACACTCTCAAAGACTCCAGTGGTAAGTCATTTCTATTTGATTAATTTGTACTGCCTTGTCGGAGTATTACCATCGTATTT